ATATATATATATATAGTTATTTGTTACCTTTTGACTGATGCTTTTAATTTGAAATGATTTTTAAAGGGACAGGGTTGCTAAGTGATCTTCACAAACTTCTGACAATAACTGACAATTAACTGTTTGGGACATAGTGCAGAGAGTAAGAGAGCGTACGAGTCACAGTTATAGGGAGGTAACTAAGGAATAGTCCAACTAAGGTCTAAACAATTAGTTAGGGCTTGGTTGATGAGGGAACAAGGTGACTGTTTTGACGAGAGTATTGTATAGATTGAGCGTAATGTTTATGTTTCGACATGAAATAGTGTTAATATTTGATTGACTGTCGAACAGTTGGAATACGTTTTAGTTAATTTGTAATATAGAAATATTATAGTTAATCAAATACATGTATTGTAAATTTAATGTTATTACATAAAGTAAGGTTTATAGGTTAAGGCAAAAGGTTAGAACCACTTAGAGTTACTAATGGTATTTTATTTGAATGTTTGTAGCTCTTACGGTGTGTTCATGTACAAAGGCTGTTGAATAAAGAAACGTGAACCATCAGTTTGAGAGATCATCCTTTCAACCGGGACGCTACACTATATACTTTTGAAACAACTAAATGTTTTGTAACTTTTGTAAATGAAATCTGCTGGCTCTATATATGTATCACATGGAAATAAGCTTTAAATTCAGATTGTTTTTAATCCTGTTTTTATTTAGTGAAATTTAATATAAATAAATCTTTTTTCTTTTTTTTTTCCCCCCCAACTATAGTGGTATAATACCCCTTGTGTTGAGTTATGAGTTTCAACCCAATTTTGGGTCAGTTTAACCAAATTAAACAAGTCAATTCAACCCAACCTTTGGTTAGTTGCCATAACCCAATGTGCTGGGTCACACCATCAACCCAACCCAGTTGAGTTAAAACAACCCAGCGTTGGGTCGGTCCATATTTGACCCAGCGCTGGGATACGAATTGGGTTATTTTTAACCCAGCAGTTTCCAAGAGCCATTTATCTTTTCTGGTGTTTATCGCCACCAGGGGGCGGATTTAATTTTGAGTTCTGAGTGTCTGATGGGGGGATGGGTTATTTAAGGTCAACCATGATTCTGTTCAGGTGTTGTTAATAGGTAGAGGCAAACAGTTTTCTACCGTGCTTGGTTTGGATCTATGTCGAATTTATGTGGATCTAAATGGAAACAGTAAGACAATGGACATTGTTCTGAAAATAAATTATTTTATGTCAAACGAAAGATCGGCATCATGAATCTTAATTGAGCGCACGTAAAACCAACGCCTTTCAAGAACAACAACCAGTAGCCTAAAATATAGGATTTTAGCCGCTACAAAAAAATCTATCTATCTATCTATCTATCTATCTATCTATCTATCTATCTATCTATCTATCTATCTATCTATCTAT